CCAGCAAAACCTCAACCCCCACTACCTTCCCCCCCCTAAACCCTAAACCCTTATAGTACCCCTCCCAGAAACCTTTCAGGAACCCTTTAAAGGAACCCCCAAAACCCTATTCTAATTATGAAGGCCCCCTAAACCCTAAACCCTAAACCCTAAACCCTAAACCCTAAACCCTAAACCCTAAACCCTAAACCCTAAACCCTAAACCCTAAACCCTAAACCCTAACCTACATTAGGGTTTGGGTTTAGGACCCCTGAGCTTTCAGGATCGCCAGGAGACGGGGACCGCTGGAGCCGGGGCGCAGTGCACAGGAGCTCCGGGGGCGCGAAGGGGGGGTGTTTAAGGTTTAGGGTTTAGGGTTTAGGGTTTAGGGTTTGGGGTTTGGGGTTTAGGGTTTAGGTGGCTTTGAACTTCCGGGGATAATATCGGTTCTGGGGTTTAGGGTTTAGGGTTTAGGGTTTAGGGTTTAGGGTTTGGGGTTTGGGGTTTGGGGTTTAGGTGGCTTTGAACTTCCGGGGATAATATCGGTTCTGGGGTTTAGGGTTTAGGGTTTGGGGTTTAGGGTTTAGGGTTTAAGGGAGAATATAGGTTCTTTTCTATAAGTACTACTATAAGGGTTTAGGGTTTAGAGGCCGTAATAGTTGAAATAGGGTTTTGGGGTATAGTATACTATAGCTAGTTAATATAATGCAAAACCAGAATATTATGGGTAAGTGTTAAGACCCCTATACTAAACGAAAGGCATGCAACATTTCCTTGGGTTTTTATACTGTTGCGGCAAGATATGCCGTAATATACCTGTGAGCGTTTGAAGCCGTAAAAGCGCAGCTTGCGTATAAACTCCTACACACTCTCCCGGTCTAGTTACTAAACCCTAAACCCTAAACCCTACCTATAGTCTCCATTGTAGTTCCTTTTTTTGGTTTAACCAAACATATGTTAACGAGTTTATAAGGTATCCCCAAAAAGGAACTACAATGGAGACTGTAGGTAAGACCTTTCCTAAACCCTAAACCCTAAACCCTAAACCCTAAACCCCCTGTAAGGCCCTAAACCCTAATAGGTCTTTGGGGCCCCAGGACCTGCAGAAGACCACGGCCTGATGTTGTACTACTACCACGCCCGGGGAGCCCAGGGGGTATGATGGGGCTCTATATCGGGGGTTTAGGGTTTAGGATTTAGGGTTTAGAGTTTAGGGTTTAGGGTTTAGGGTTTAGGGTTTAGAGTTTAGGGTTTAGGGTTTAGGGTATCCCAGTGTATGTTGGGTTCTATCCCTAACCAGCCAGGTACCTACTATATAGGGTACTAGAGCCCCTAGGGCCCTATATAGTAGGTACCTGGGGGGTTAGGGTCTATATCGGGTTTAGAAGGTTGGTTTTTTGGGTTCTACGTGCGTGGGAGTGAGTGAGTGAGTGACAGAGAGAGAGAGAGAGAGAAACAAAAACAAGGGGAGAACGAGACAAAGATCAGGGTCTTTTTGGTGTCTGACTAGTATGTGCAGGCTTATGTTGCAGGAAAGGTTTCGTCGATGCCTCTGCACGTCGTTTTGTGACTTGGCTAAGAGATTATAAGGTTTCGGTGAGGCCATTCTCTCAGTGCACCCCCGAAAACGTAGTGACAAAATCCCTTCTGCTTAGCCCACCGCGCACGTCGACGTGGACTCCGCCAAGGACTCTCAGAAGGTGCACGATGCAGCGGGATCGGGAGAGCTACAGGAACATGACCCGCGTGCATCCTATATCCCACAGTCCCGATGAGCCGGCATATCTTTGCTACTAATGACAAGCAGTCTAAACCCGAAACACCACAAACACACGGTGCTTCCACCCTAAAGCTCTGCAAGACCTATGGTTCCATCACTGTGGACGGCACGAAGTACGAGAAGTTTTGGTGGTTCTCCAGCGGTGCCGCGTGGCCAACGGGCAGCTTGGGCCGCAGAATGTAGGCTTGGATATCAGGCTTCGGATGACACTCTAAGTTGCTGTAGACTCCGAGGAGCTGCGGAGAGTCTTTGGAATTTCGATCATTTAGATGCGCTTGCTTTTGGATCATCCTTCACCAAAGAGACTGAACCTGGCAATCCACCACAGACACCACACAAAGCCACCGCGACCCAGTGGTGCTATTGTTGCTGCGAGACTACAATCGCAAGTCCACAGAATGTCCTGTACAACCACCTGGAAACAAGTAAAGTCGTGTCAAGCAAGGCAAGAAAGACGTCTTGGGCGACAGCTACGGCGACTGCGCTTTGCTCAGTTGCTCCTTCATGGTATGCTCGCACGGGGTGTATAGTTTTGAAAGGCATGCGTAGGGTTTGAAAAGCCCGCGGCCATCCAGTGCCTTATATTAAAGGTTGCTATCGTAGGCCTTGAGCTTGCAAACTCGCGCTTTCCCATTTGGCTTTACGATGTTTTTTCGGGACCACGGACTGTAATTCTTCTTGGTGCCTGTTATGATTCAGAATTGTGTTTATTGACAAGTCAAGTACTCTACGGCCCCAATAGTGAGGAACTGCCCGGGACAGTCCAGATAGGTGTTTCGAGGTTTGACCTCAAGCCTTCACCCCTCAAATGCTGAATCCCGACGATCCCCCACCATCTATGTCTATTAGTACAAAGTGAAAAGATCCGTGGTTCCGCGACCTGAAGAAGCCCGATGCTACATCGCAAAACCGCTGGACAAACTCGGACCCCAAGCCTGGTGGACCCTCAACCCTAAACCCTTAAACCCTAAACCCTTAAACCCCTAAACCCCTAAACCCTAAACCCTTAAACCCCTAAACCCTTGAACCC